TCTCTTATAGATGAAGAGCCACCAAGGGAAGGCTGGGACCCGCACAGGATGGCAGGGTCTAATTCATTTTTAACCTGCTTTTAAGGAGTAGTTTAATTAATATGGGATCAGCACATTTGAAAGCTTGAACAGGTGCAAACACGTACTTGTAACCAGCTGTGTAATTGACCCCAGTGGAACAAGCCGGGGCTGAGTATACAGACCTCACTAATCACCTGCTCACCTCCTACCTGTGGCTGTAAAAAGGTTTATTCAACGAAGTGCAGGGATCCTCAAGTCTGAAAGGCTAGGGTGTGTTGGGGTGAACTGCAATTTTGAGTACTGAGCAGACCTCGATAGATGGGTTATTTCAACTTACTACACACTAGAAACATCCTGCTTTCTTTCTTTGGTTCGTGCAGTGTATTTTTATATCCTTCCTAAAGTTTCAGGATCATACGAATGCAGTATATAGTTGTGGATAGATAGCTCTTCTTGTGTGGGTATGGGTGTGTGTGTGTGTGTGCACATATGTGCCTGTATGTGTATGCATACGGAGGTGAAAGGCCAGTGCTGGGTTTCTTCCTTGATTCCTATCTACCTTCCTCTTTTGAAACAAGGCCTCTCGCTGTCCCTGATGCTCTCACCACGTGGGTGAACCTCAGGGATTCTCCCGTCTCCCCTCCCAGTTTGGGCATTACAGGTTTGTACTGGAGTAGTTGGCATTTATAAGACTCCCGAGGATCTGAACTCTGGTCCTCATGTTGAGCATTTTCCTAGCTGAGCTATCTCCACAGCCCCAGTGTTTGCCCTCTTTGTACCTCAGGGTGTTGAGGGTTAGTCTCCTGCATCCGTTTGTGTGCTATTTCCACAGCAGAGTGTCGTCTCCAACTATCATGCCATGGGGGATTGATTCCCAGTCCTGCCTCCTGCAAGTTGTCCTCTGACCTTCACATATGTGGACTGTGGCACACAGCCCCCAACAATAAGTAAATGTTTACAACACACGGCAGTAAAGGGGTTTGTCTTTTCTCGAGCAAGGGAAGATGGAAGTCGGGGTGGATAGATAGTTATCACCTCACATTCTTGACTGGATTCTGTCTCACTAGGTATGCCTTTCTCAGTAGGGCAGCACTCTGGATGTGGACATGCCCTGGCACTCTGAGGAGAAGGAACCAGCAAAGCTGCAAGTGTGAAGAAGTACAGATTAGGACAGTATCCCCCACCCCCGTCGGCCGGGCTCATTGAGTAAATGAGTCCTGAAACTGTTTGCCTCTGTGTTGGTTAATATGTTAGTTGTTAGATGGACAGGATGGAGGACACCTCAGGGACACATCCTGGGCACATCTCTGAAGGATTTTCTAGACAGGGTTAGTTAAGGTGGAAGCTGACACCCAGTATTCACCACTCTCTGCTTTCTGAATGTAGGCTCTGTGTGACCCAAGGCTCCTGCTGCCATGATTTCCTGCTATGATGGACACCTGCCCCTTCCTCGAATTGCCTTTATGTGGCCCTTTGTCCCAGCCATGAGCAAACTGATACCTCTTTCTTAAAGACATTAGGTACAGGCTCGCTAGGGATGAGGTAGAATGCTTGCTTACCATGAACCAGTCCCTGGGTCTAAAAAAAATTAGCCTAGGTTATGGGTTCTGAACCCACATGGACCAGGGTTTGTCTGGTAACTTTGCTAAACTAATACCTTTGAGGCACTTGCTCCCAGCAAGCATTCTACCTCATCCCTAGCGAGCCTTACTCTCTGTATCACCATACTGATTTTCAGTAGAGCACACTACTGTCATCTAGTTATAAAACTTCATGCTTCATGCCAGGCGGTGGTGGCACACGCCTTTAATCCCAGCACAGGCAGAGGCAGGCGGATCTCTGTGAGTTCAAGGACAGTCTGGTCTACAGAGTGAGTTCCATGACAGCCTCCAAAGTTACAGAGAAACCCTGTCTCAAAAAACTGAAACAAACAAAACTTCATGTTTCTCCATATTCCAATATTTATTACTCAAGTATTTTTCAATATCTAAACAGATTTTTGTCAAGATTTAATTCACTTTTAATGTTGATGTAGATAATGCATGTTTAGAGGAAAAGCTTTTGCTGAAGGGCTCCAGCAGATCCGATCTTGGCAGACACAGGCCCAAACGTGGCAATCATGGTACTGGAAAGTTTTGCTTTTTACCCTTCTCCCCTTTGCTAAACTGTTAAAGTATATTCCTAAAGCTAGCCACCAAGGTCTATTTTCTTATTTGATCGCCGACTCATTTCTGAGACTTACCACCAATGTCCAACTATCAACGCATCACGGTCTAACAATCAGAATTCATTATTTTGACTAACTTAAGTAACGTATCCAGTTGGAGCTCACCAACTGGTCATTCTAACACACAACCCCCTTTCTCCCCTCTTCAAACTTCAAACTAACATTTACAAAGCTATTTGTTGCTGTTCCTGCCTGATTCAGATTCAGGCACCTTGTCTTTTTGCCTTGCTTAGTAGAGGATCTCTTTGCATTTGTTTTGTGTTTGGAAACTGGTGTTTGTTGTGGTCTGTGCCTAATCTGTCCGGAGTCCTGAGTGGAGCATCCTACAGTTTGTGGGTCCTTCATTTGGAACCTAGCAATAAGTAAAGTGGAGTAAAATGCCCATTTACCATACTATGTGCCATGAAAAAAATCTCCCTTCAATGCAGACTGGTTTTGAAGGAATATGCTTACATGCTTGTTCAGAAATGTTTAGATGTGTCAGCTAGCAGGTCATGGTCTGGCATTCCCAAGTATGAATTTTAGGCTTTCTCTGGTGGGATTTAAGATTTGTTTTATTTTTTTCCCCCAATGAACAATTGGAGTAAAGGATCATGTTTAATTATCGCAGAGTCCCTTTTTGTTTGTACATCACTGTAGACCTAATTGTAGGCTGGCATCGCTGCCACGGCCTAAGTGGTCATTAGCTTGCTGATAACACACTATTGTTGTCAATGAGGCCTCATTAACCATTGTTCTTTTCAGCTAAACTGTTGTAAGGATTTGAACTTGTGATTGAGGATACCCTGGGCTCATAGTGATAAAGGGACTTGAGCAGGGAGTTACATGGATCCAGGCAACAAAGGGGGCTCCGGGAGGATGAAAAGGAACCGAGAATGAGAACGCAGCGTTAGGAAGGCGATGTGTGGTCTAACATGCTTGTGGCCTGAGGTCTGGTGCCAGCTGGTGCCCGAGCCTGAAGCTCTGGAGTCCTTAGAGTTTGGGCTACTTTATCCTCTTTTTGCCCCTTTCCTTCACCTGGGAAGAGAATGGTTAGCAACAGAACTTGCAGATAAAAATAATTTTGGTTGAGCATGGTGACACAGGGCTGAAATCACAGAACCCTGTCTAGGTGAGGAGGCAGGTGGTAGAGACAGAAAGACCAGGGGTTCAGGGCCAGCCTAGGCTACACGAACCCCTGACTCAGAAAACAAAACACAGCTATACAACCTAGTAGCTGCTTGTCTTTTCTTTTTCGTCTCAGTGATGTTATCTTCTTAGGTTACACACTAGAGGGCAGTGGTACATTATTATTACAAACTGCTCATGCTTGATACTCAGCTGAAAGTCATAGATGTTTGCCTTTGTATATTCACCATCAAAATAAAGAAGCCATCCTGCATGAGCTCAACTGATATTCGTATCGCTCTTTCTGGATATTTCCAGTTGGGAGTCTAGCTTTACTAGTAGCTTTCCCCTTACTGTGTCTAGTTACTAGAAAATTCTTTCTTTAGTAAGAAAAAGCCAGTTCCCTGCAACAGTGTGAAGCAGCAGGCACGCACCCATGGCTCCCGCAGCACTGGTTCTTACAGTATTTTATAGTGTAGGAGGATGGCTACAAGATGGAGGCCAGTTTGGGCTACGAGTCAGCTCCAGCTGGTTTTGTCTATATACTGAAACTCCATCTTAAAACAAAACAAAACACAAACAAAACAAAACAAAACCCAGCTCTACCCAAACTACCAACAACAGTAAAGAACTATGTCACTGAGTAACATGTAATGCACACAGGTTACTGGCCATATGTGGCCATTGATGGGGGATGTCCTTCTGTATATATGTTTCTCTTATTGGTTGATGAATAAAACACTGGTTTCTCCAGTAGCCAGGCAGGAAGTGTAGGCGGGGCTACCTGATGAGGAGAATTTTGGGGAGAGGAAGGTAGAGAGAAGCTGCTGGGAAATGCCATGTAGCTACTGGGAAGACAGGATGCACCCAGCAGTCTCTGGTAAGTTAAGGCCGTGTGGAAATACATAGATTAATAGTTATCGGTTAATAATTAAGAGAGAGCTATCCAGTAAGAAGCCTGAGCCACCAGCCAAACAGTTTATAATTAATATAAGCCTCTGTGTGTTTATTTGGGGCTGAAGGGTGGCCAGGTGGAACAGAAACTCTCATCTACAGACCATGACACATACCATGCGTGTTGAGTGGTCCCATTTTTCTTCACGACTACACAGGGTCCATGGGCATATTCTTTGGGCATAGAATAGTTCCTAAGTAATAACTTGGGATGTATCAGTGTTATATGTGAACAGGGAGACTTTACATCCTGTCCTTTGTACTTGATTTTTTTTTTTGTTACATTGTTTAAGGGTTTGTTTAATACTTTAAAACAGTGTGGGCTTGTTTCAAGCATAAGATTAACAATACCCTTTTTCCATTATTCTTTTATCTTAATGTTTATGAGATATGTAAAGAGGGGAAGGTGATCTGGTATATTCCTGGTAGAAACAAGTAGCTCAGGACCTTGGAGGAGACTTTCTATGCTGCCTGGTGTTTGTCAGTTTGAACCAAGTTAAGGTCATCTGGGAAGAGGGAGTTTCAATTGAGAAAATGTCTTCAATTAGATTGGTTTATAGGCAAGCCTGTGGGGCATTCTCTTGATTAATGATTGATGTGGGAGGACCCAGCCCTGAGGGTAGAACCACCCCAGGCAGGTGGTTCTGGGTTGTGTAAGTAAGCAAGCTGAATAAGCCAGGGAGAATAAGCCATCCCTCCACAGTCTCCACTTTGGTTCCTGCCTCAAGTTCCTGTCTGACTTCTCTCCATGGTGGACTGTGATGTGATGCGGGACTGTAAGCCACTCCCTTTCCGCCCAGGTTGCTTTTGGTCATGGCGTTCATCACTGCAGTAGAAAGGCAAACTAGGACAGACATTGGTTTCAGGATCCAGGGATATTGCTGCGATGAACTTGATCCTGTTGGTTGGGAGCGTTGTAGAAAGAGTTGGGAACTTTGGGCCGGAGAGGCCGTTGAGTGCTTGGAACTTAAGGAGCTGTTCCAGGGGAGCCTTGACAATGTTGACAGCAATGCAGATAACAAAGTCTGACTTGTGAAATTCCAGAGGGACATTTGAGAGTCTCTCAAGGACCCTGCCATGGATGTTCATGTGACATGTTTGAGTTAAGAACTTGTAGCTTTGGCCGGGCAGTGGCAGCCCATGCCTTTAATCCCAGCACTCGGGAGGCAGAGGCAGATGGATCTCTGTGAGTTCGAGACCAGCCTGGTCTACAAGCACTAGTTCCAGGACAGCCTCCAAAGCCACAGAGAAACCCTGTCTTGAAAAACCAAAAAGAAAAAAAAAAGACCTTATAGTTTCTGTCCAGCTGGGGCTAAAGAATCCACTGTGGTGGATAGGAGATGAGCATCCTTGAGGTAAATCTTTTGGGAAGTGTTTCCTTAAGGTCAGCACTCAGGCCTTACGCTGTGCCCACAGGGGCAAGGCTGCAACTCGAGCTGGAAGAGTGTCCCAGGTGCTTTTGAAGGCATGAAGGGGCCATGGAGAGCAGCCAGGCTTGGTATCATGTAGCAAGGTTGGAACCCAGAACATTATATTCCAAGTCTCAGGTGCTGGGGTTATTGGAATTGTAAAATTCAGTGTTTTCTTTGGACCTCATTATTTTCCCTCCCCTGTTCCTGCTTCCTTTTCTCCTCTCCTCACTTCTTTTCTTAGTATTTTTTTTTACCTTACTATATATTTGTACTTTTTGTATACTTTTACACTAAAAGATAAAATTTAGAGGTTTTTACAAATTCTTGTTTTCTGTAGTCTCAGGTGTATGTAAGTAAGTATTATCTATGATCTGAGATGTATGTAAGTAAACTATGTCTTGCCTGAGGTGTATATATGTAAGTAAATGCTAGTAGGCCGACCCACCGTGTCTTTCAACCACACCACTTGTTGCTTATTTGTTTCTTTGCTAAAGTTGTCTTTAAATTGCTCAGCTCTGAGGCTTAAAGCCTGAGTTTAAAAAAAATTCTCTGCTGTTGCTCATCCCCGTATCTAGTTAGTCCTGACCAGTTGTTCAGCTGTGATCCCATTAGCTCCCTTACAAACTGGACGGGCAAAGCAAGGTACAGGGAGAATTAGTCACCTGTCAGGAAAATGTGGAGATGGAATTTGAGAAGAAGGCAACATCCCCATCCCCAGATCACTGATCTTTTGATAAAATCAGCTGCTTCGCTCCCCAGGTTGTTTGGTCCTTTACTTTCATGTGATTATTTTACCTGGATGAACTTTTTGTTATCAGTCGCCAGGGTGATTAAAACGATCAGACCATGGGTGTCAGAGCAGCAATCCCAGGAGGGCGTGGTAAAGCAGGTATTTCCAAAGCCCCTCCCTTTTCACAGGTTCTAGTTCCTCAAGTGTGGGGTGAGGGTTGAGCAGGCTCATTTCTGAGGTGTCCCAGGCGCAGCTGCTGCTGCTGCTTCTGCGGCTGCTGGGTGGGGGAGCACACTCCAAGGGCAACAGCACTCAGTTCGTGTTCCTTAAGCCTGGGGAGAAGCTCCTTCGGGGCACTTCTCTCAAGAGTCTCCAGTGAACCCTCATTATCTTTCTAACACGGCTTTGCAGTCCTGTGAGCAATCTAAATTTGTCTTTTTCGCTTCCCAATTCATTTCATGCTTCCCCAGTCATGCCTTACTCTTTCTGTCCCTTCCTCAAAAATGCTTACTGGTGGTCAGCGCATTGATCGGGACTCAGAAGAAGAACCCTTCAGTTCCCCGCCGTGAGGGGAACAAGCTCTCTGCTCATACAGTGTGGACAGAACGATGCCCTCCCTCAGCAACGCACCCACGTTTCCTCTCTTTTGTTGACTTTAACTGTAAGAAGCAGAGACCCCAGACTCCATGACTTGCGTTTCAGGAGGAAAACCATCTTTCAAAAATTTGATTTTAAAGATCATTTGGGTTGTGTTCATGTAAGTACAGGTGCTGGAGGATGCCAGAAGAGGGCTCCATATTCCCTGGAGCTGGAGTTATAGGTGGGTGTGAACTGCCTGCCCCCATGTGAGTGCTGGTGGTTGGAAAGAAGAGAGTGTGCTGTTATTCACTGAAGCATGTCTCCAGCCCACGGGGAGAGTTAGCTCTAAAGCCACTGAGTCTACTTGCAGTGATTTGAGTGTTGAGAGCAGAGAATATGAATGTCATTATGAAGCACTTGTGGAAATTTCCTGAGCTAGCATTCTTTGGATAAAAATCACAACAGTGCTCACTTTCATTAATACAAATGAAATATTTCACAAAACATAAAATCGGCAATTAAGATATAAAGATCCCAAATTATCCCATCAGATGGGATTTGAACAGAATTGTACTCTTGTCTCATCCCAGTTATTACCAAGGTTTATTAGTTAAATATCATGACTAGTTTATGGACCCAATTAAATAAATGATAATCGGTCATTGAAGTCATCCTAAATTTGACAATTTTCAGATAAATATTCTATTTTCCATAGAAAAATGAACAAACATAGTAAAGTGATCTCTCTGAGTCTCTACTTTGAGTATTAGCACAGGATTTTATATCAAATATAATTAGAAAATTCTATATTAAAATATGTTGAGTCTTATTGAGCTGTAGGACTCCCTAGATTCATATACATTATGCTTTAGTAATCTTTAAAGGTGGTATACAATACTTGCCAATTTTCAAAGTTCTTGACTTTTAAGTATTTCATTTTATAGATAATATATACAGTAACTCCACCCTGGGAAGTACACTTGATAGAGACCTTTGACACAGAGTTCCAGGATGACATTTCCCTCTGTGAGTTCATCTGGAAGACATTGTGTTCAGATGTGTTAATAGCAATTTAAAGCTAGATGCTAGATTACTAGCTATTATGAAAAGCTACATCACATGGGAGTGTGAGGTTTCTCTGCTTTTTGATTTTTTTTTTAAATTTAGACTAGGTCTTACTACATAACCCTGGCTGGCTGGGAGCCCAATATATAGAGCAGGCTGATTTCAAGCTCTCAGAGATCCATTTACCTCTCTCTCTGCCGCTTGAGTGATGGGTTTAAGGGAGTGCATCACATACACTGTCCCTGGTGGTGTTCTTGCATTCCTTTGTGGATGTGGGAGGAGATGGTTTGATAGGTTGAGTCTGTACTCTTTTTCCTATGTGTTTTCTGTATCAATCTACCTGTTTTATGTAGGGTAGTGTCTTTGTATACTCTGTGAAGTTTGGGAATATAGGTAGAGTCAAGTCTCTTTGTCTTTGTCTATCTTCAATCAGTTCTATTGGCAGGATTATCTACATCTCAACAAGTCAACATAATTGTCCTAAATGTTCCTTGTTTTCAGTTGAGTCCTGAGGAATTTGTTTTACTGTCATATTTAAGGAAAATGTAATGTTGTGAAATAGTTTTGACCCATTTGCTGTCTGAGTAACCAGAAACAAGTAATTTTAATCTGAAAATCTAAAATTTGAAGTGCTCCAGAATTCAAAACTTTTTGAACACTAACCTTGATAGTGTTAAGTAGAAAATCTCACACTTGACCTCAGGGGACAGGTCACTGTCAAATGTCAGGTACACTAGACATATTGGATGAAGCCATCTTCAGGTAGATGCATGGAGTGTTGATGAAACAGAAATGAATTTTTCTTTCACAAATGGAGCTATGATATCATGTATATGTAAATATTCCAAAATCTGCAAAAAAAGTCTGAAATACACAGCACTCCTAATCTTGAACATCCCAGATAAGGAACACTTAGTTTGTGTTCTCTCCTTCTGAGAATACCGCTATTGTTCCAGTCTTAATTCCATGCTTTGCCTGATTCAAAGTTTTTCCATCTACATCCAAGACCCAGATGACTATCAGGATGGAGGCATCTCTTGATGAAGGGGCTGAGGAATGCTTGTTCCCATCTTATTATCCTCTCTTCTGACACGGAAGTCTTTTAAATTTATGCTTTAACCGAACTCGTCTAGTGTTGGGGTGGGATATCTTGCTGGGTGATTTTTTTTCTTAAGTTGTAGGTACTAAATATGTAGAGTGGACACTTTCTTATGATTTGATACAAAGTGACCATATTTCTGGACTCTCTAGTTGTGACTCTGATCTCTTGCAAGTGGTGTGAGGTTTTATATTGCTCTTGATGGGCTTTAAAAAAAATCAAGCAGATTCTTATTTTTTTTTCAGAGTCCTGTAAGAGTCAAATGTCTGTTCAATGTGCACGTAACAGAGACCACAGGCACTGCACCAATTTTCTCGATTCTTAGCTTACTAGCTGGTAGTCTATGCTTTGGGGTGCTTACTCTTTCACCCCAACAATTAAAGCCGATCTGCTTATGCGTAGTGATAAGATAATAAGTGGACATCTATTCAAAGATCCTTTTTTTTTTTTTACAAGAAACAAAAGTGAGCCTGTTGAAGTTTAGAGTCAGTGTTGTCTCCATGAGGTACAGTAGAAGAATCCGATATCTATGCAATAGATTAACTCTCCGTTGAAGGAGGAGAGCCGTTGCCTGCTGCTGTCCAGGACCTCACTCCTGATGTGGCGGGGAGGAAGGTAGAGGAGATCATATGGAAGTCATCTGGAGACACCAGAAGCTCTTTGCCCACTTGGAACTCCAGTTTCTTTGTTAAGAGTAGGAAATGTTAGACTCTGCTCCCTGTGGCTTTCCTAGACACACCTCCGGAACTGGCATCTTTCCATGCCACCTGCAGGTGCCAGGGTTTGGCTGTTTCTCTCTGCATCTTTGCTGGAACATCTCCATCTTGCTTTGTTTCCTTGCAGATTTCCCTCCTGATCTTTCTGCAGGTGATGAAGCTCAGGGTGCCTCCT